CCAAAGTACAAAGCCCCCTTTTATGATTGCGTGTCGCACGAATTTGGTAATTCTTGTGATCAGGGTCATCTAGGAAACCCCAGGCGACGGATGGAAACGAGTTCAGCGGGATGGTTGGGAGGGGAAGTGCGCCAGATGTGGCGCGAGCGCAATTGTCTTGCCCGTCTTCCCCTCTCCCCTCCTCCCTTTCCCCACCTTCGCACTCCCCCCTCCATCATCGGTGCCCTCTCCGTCCACCCCATCCTTCCCCCCTTCTCGCTCTGCTTTCGCTACCCTTTATACTTCCCCTCCCCGTTCGCACTCCCCCCTCCCCGCTCCCCGTACCCGAACCCTCGCACCTGTCCCTCCCCCTCGCCGTTTACACATGGACTCGCGGACATGTCCTGGGGCGCGCCCAGACAAGGTGGTCGACGGGACTCTAGCCGCGGCGACGGGCGGGGGTCGCATACCCCTGGGGACTCGAACAAATCGCGCTACGGGTTGTTCGCGGTGTTCGGCCTCTGGGGGCCGCTTCTGGGCCCCGCGCTTGTCAAGCGTTCGGGGCGGAGAGCTGTCCAGGAAGGGTTCGAGAGTTCGGGGGGCTGGTGGCTGGGCAACATCTAGTCGAGGGAGCCTGGGCGGGACCATTCCTCAGCCTTCGCCGTCTTCTCCACCGTACTTGGTTGTTCATCCGCATCCTCCTCTTCGTTCTCATCCGCCTTCTCTTCCTCCTCCTCCTCCTCCTCCTCATCCTCCCCATTCTCCTCCACATCCCTCATCATCCTCCTCCTTGTCCTGCACATCTTCCACCTCCGTCCTCCCTCCTCCTTCACTCAGAAACGCTTCCATGTCAGACCTTTCAAGGGGTGCGCCTTGATTTACCAAATTTGCCATTGGAGTCCAGTACTGGCGGGGAGCAGCTCTACGAAGGCCCAGACAAGAGCGAAGAGCGTCCAAAACCATAGGACCGTCTTTCCTGCTTTCTCAATCTGGGGGCTGTTGTTGGTTCCCCCTCTCTCTCATTCTCTCTCTCTCTCTATCTCTCTCTCTCTCTATGTATCGTTATTTGTTGTATTGTCTTCGTGTTGGTTATATCTCTCTCTCTCTCTATCTCCCTTTCTCCTCCCTTAGTCGCATGTCTATGTTAATATATAGGATTTGCCATCGTGGACCCCGAACAGTGTGCTTCTAGCAAGATGTGCTGTGCAACCTACGTGGAGCAATATAGGCTGTGCAATGTTTTTGGCACACTATATACGGTGAAACTTTTGGTGAACTCCATGTGATGCCATCTATGGTGTGCAATGTATGCTTTGTGGTTCATGCTGTTGAATATATGCGGTGCAGCCTATGTTGTGCCTTATATGTTGAGCGATCTATGTTGTGCAGTTGAGTATAGGCTGGCAACCTATGTTGTGCCATCTATGTTGTGCAATCGGTGTTGGACAGCATTTGCTTGTGCGGTCTATGGTGTGCAATCTATGCGGTACAATCCGTGCTATGAAATATCTGTTGTGCGATCTATGCTGTGCAATCTATGTGGTGCCATCTACGTGGTGCGATTGAACGGCGGCGACGAGTGTCGACGGCGGCGACGGCGACGCGACGGCGACAACATAGCCGCCAGACTGGCAGACCGGCCCAGATACGGGCGGCGACGAGGTGGCGATGGATCGTTGATGGGGCGGCGACGGCGACAAACAGCCGCCAGACCGACAGACATGCTCAGTGTCGTTGAAGAGAAGCACGAACAGCTAAGTGCAAGCACTGCTTTGGCCATCCATACTTTTACAATGCACGGTTATGCAAAGCAACGCAACGCAATGCGAAACAATGTAAAGCAACGCGCAGCAATGCAAATCAATGCACAGCAATGCAATGCAACGCAAGCAACACACAGCAACGCAGAGCAACGCATGGCAAATACATCAATGCACAGCAACGCAAAGCAATGCAAAGCTATGCAAAGCAACGCACATCAAATCAACGCAACTCAACCTATGTGCTGCAACCTAACGGCGGCGACGAGCGGCAACGGTGGTGACGGGGCGGCGACGGCGACTACATCGTCGCCAGACCGACGCACAGGCCTTCATGATGGGAGGCGATGGGGCGGCGACGGCGACTACATAGGCGCCAGACCAACGCACAGGCCATGTTCCTTGGAAGAGCAGTAAGACCCCCTAAGTGCAGTCACTAGTGGGGGAATGTTCTCTAGGTGATGCATCGTTACGTTTATGTACTTACACGTAGATATGGATTCATCGATCGTGCCCCTCTCAGATGGAGGAATTGATGAATGACGAGGGGGACGAGTTGGGCGAAGGGAGGACGAGGGGGGACGGGATAATAATGGGCATCGCCTCCGGTTATTCGCCTCCTTCATTCCCTTCTCCTGGCACGTTCCTCTGGGCTTATGGTTCCTTTGGTTCGTGAGGTGTCCAGTGCGATGCTCTATTGCACGCCTCGCTTGGGTTTCGGCCGCGAAGCGTTTGACCTTAGCTTGGCGCACACATCCAAGCATGCTGTGCATTTTGGTCATCGTGGCCCTGAAATGGGACAGGCGGATGGGGCTCGCGTGTCAACAGCTGGACGCAGCTGGAACAAATTGCCTTTTTCCAGGAGGAGCCCGGGGTCTAAAGGCTCATTTCGAGCAACTGTTGCCACAGCCTTTGGCGACTCGACAAATTGGCGCCAGAGTTTTTTGTCTGCTGTGCTGGGCCTCGGTGGGGCATCTCTGAGCCCTGTAGCCGTCAAGCTATGGGTCCTCCGTCCTTTTATTTTCCGCCACCATCAACCATGCTCCATCCTCCTCCTCCGATCCATTCCCAGACCCTCCCGTGTTTTTTCGGGGCTGCGCGTTGCCTCGACCTCGGCGGAGTCAATTTCGGTTTCTCGCTTAGTCGGAGGTTGCTCGCGGTGTTGCAGTACATAGCACACTCGAGCAGGCCCGAGTTCCACAGACATGCAGCAGGCCGAGTGTTCTTCTTTTCGCAGGAGAGGGAGGAGGGAGCGCCTTGGAGCATCCGGCGGTGCACTTACAAGCATCACTACAACAGCAGGTTGCTTGGCCGCGCCTCGCGAAACATGCCGCAGCCACGTGGGCTCGTGCGAGGGCCACCGCCGCCCTTCCATCTGACTGCGCACGAAGCGTTTGCTGAGAATCCATTGTTGCGGAATCTGAGCGACCCCCTGACTGGTGAGCGCTTGATGTTCCAGAGATATCGAAACAGAAGCAAACGTAAATGTTCGGAGGTCCGCGCCGAACTCTTGGATCTGCGCTGGACCGCACTGGCGGGTACTCTCCGCGCGCCAGGGAGCTCCGACAGTTTGTGTTTACGCAGTGTTTCTTTTTACATGTTCGACTGCCAGAGAAAGGCCATATCTACTGATTCGGAGACGCAGTTGTCCCAGGGCCTCGGGGAGTGGTGGGTGTGGATATTTGCTGGCTCTTCAGGGCCAGAAAGTATATATGTCCGTCTTGCTTCCCCCAGGACCATTGGTGGGACATTGGAGTGTTTTTGAAGGTGCAGTTGTGGAAGCAATATGTGCCAAGCTAAACGATGGACGGCAGCTCTTTACACCAAGAAGTGCATAATGTGATTTCAAAACAGGTTTTGTCATGAAGGTGCTTTTGATTGCATTGAATATGATTTAAGTGTTGTGCAGTTGACCTCGTTCGGCTATCCTCGCCTGTCCCTGGCTCTGGTGCTGACCCCCGTGTGCCGCCGATTTCTCTTCTATCAGTCCCTGTGCCCTAATATCCTGACCCCGCGAGCCGCTGATAACCTTCGTCTGGCCCTGTCCATGCGTGCCGCCGACTTTCTTCGTCCGGCCCTGTTCCCGACCACCCGCTGTTTTGGTGCCGACTCCGCGTGCCGCCGAGGTCCCTCGTCGGATGCTGTCCCCGACGGTCCGCGGTCCTGGTGCCCGCCCCGCGTGCCGAAGAGCTCGTCTTCCTTCGCCCTCGCCCCGGGCCCTCCGCGGCCGTGGTGGTCATGACCCCGCGTGCCTCGGGGGCATCCCAGAAGGGGGGGTCGAGGACCAGGTGTGTGTGTGTGTGGATGTCGTGGCCGAGGCCATGAAATCTCCCAGGTTTCATGGTCCTCCCTTTCTCTTTCATCACATGCCCTGGCCTCCACTCGTCCGCGCACACGCCTCGGGCCATGATGCGCACTCCCCCCTCTTCCTGGCCCCTCTCTTCGGCGTACCCGAGTGCTGCGGCCTACACCTGCCTCGCCACGCGCCATCACCATCACGGCTTGTCTCCAGTCGCACTGTTTGGGGATCCTTGCGCAGGGCTCATCCGGTGCAGAGTTGCTCTCTGGCCTGTCGCCGTGCGTTTGGTCGCCGCCGACGTCCTCCGCTGAGCCTTGGTCCAGGTCGCCGACAGTCGTTGGCTCGGTCCCACCTAAGTCGCCGCCGAGTTTCTTCGTTCGGGTCTGCCCGCAGATGTCCCCAGCTCAGTTTTGTGTACCGGGTCACCACCGATTCCTTGCTTTCGGCTTTGCCGCCGACTGTCCCTGCCTCGGTCCCGTTCACCTGGTCGTTGCCGATTTCTATCGTTCGGCCTTGTCCCCTGCTGACCCCAGCTCTGTCCAGCGCACATGGTTGCTGATAATTCCGATGGGTCTGTGGGTCTGCTGAGTTAGATTAATGTCCTCACAGTCATGGCTGTCTCTTGTCTAACAGTTTGGGGCCCATGAGTGTGTTTCAAGTCTGTAATATGAACCATGTGGTACTTCCTTCTGCCAACTAGGGGGTGTACCACGTAAGGATCACAGCACAGCGGGATCTCAAGACAAGAAGACAAGAGGCCGCTCATGTCAGGGTACCTTGTTATTTTTTGGGGCGGCGCATGGCGCTTTGGGTTTGTGCAGACGCCCGTTCGAGCTCTGTTCAGGAAGCTCAGCTCCTGAAGCAAGAGCGCCGTTCGGTTTTCATACTAGCGGTTTCTCGCGGGAGCCTCTCTCAGAGTTGATTCTGCCGTGGTCGGGGGGTCGCTGAGTTTCTTTACGGGGATGCCGTTCGGTCGGATGGCACCCAGAAGTTTCGGGAGGGCGTCTCTCATCGCTTGCCTCTGCGTCGCCGATCTCGGCCGCGCCGCGCGAGTTACGCAGGTGTCGAGCTCGGAGGAGATCCCCGATGTCCGCTCTCCCCCCCTGGCCTTGATCCTTCGCCTTCCAGGGTCGGACCTCTGCTGTCGTCCGTTGTCTCTTGCTTGCTTGCAGCGCAGGCTTCCACAGCTGTTCCGATTAGTTATGGATCACGGGCCTCCCTTTCCCGTTCTGGCCCAGCCAGGAACCTTGCACAGTTCCTGATCCATGTTGCGCGTATGGCGAGGTCCTGTCGCGTCGACGCGGCGGCGACGCTGACGCGGGCGCTCAAGTTTGGAGGCAATTGGCGGCATGAGCCAGACCAACGTGGAACGATCTCCGATACTGGATGGCGGAGACCGCTGACAATTGAACGACCTTCGTACGCTGTGTCAGAAACCAACGTCCACGTCAACCAGCCTCGCACAGCGCTAATGTGCTCTCTGGTGACGCTTATGGGCGTCTTGGGAGATGTTTTGGGGCCTGGCGGAGCCTCTTGGAGGCAGTTTTGAAGCGTCTTGGGGCCAGTGTTGGAGCCTTTTGGGGGCTTCTTGGGGGCCTCTTGGGGCTTATCGGGGGCCTCGGGCCGTTTGGGGGCTCCTTGGGGCCTTTGAGGGGCCTCTTCGGAGGGAAGGAGTGCATGGTCGGTTAGGTTTCTTCCACTTTGCCTCTCTTCGGACCCTCTCGGGGCGACCTCTTGGGGCGATCTTTGGCTTGTCGCCTCGGGCCCCTCTTGGGGCCGTCTTGGAACCCTCTTGGGCCGTCCTGGGGTGCTCGTTTGCGCCTCTTGGGCAGATTTGTGGCGCTCTACGGGGCATGCTGGGGCGTCAGAAGTTTGAGAAGACGATAGCCCCAGAGACAATGAACAAGTTTAGGGAAACCATTGATTTGTGCCGTTCGGGCCTCTCTTGGGAAGTCTCTTGGGGCGTCTCAGTCTCGAAGGCGTCTTGGGGCGTCTTGGAGCCATCGTAAGCGTCTTGGGCTAATCATTCCGCGAATCGGGACCGTCTTGGAACGTCTTTGAGGAAGTTCCAGAGTGTCTTTGAGGAAGCTCCAGAGTCTTCTTAGGCGGCCGTCATGTTTGTTTGTTCAAGAGGCTTACACCATTCCGCCGACCCCCAGAAAAGGGAACGTACGGATTCCGATGTCGTATGTGTTGTTCGCCGCGTCTCGTCGTGATGCTTGCGTGCAGTTGTGTTCTGGTGTGTCCCCTCTTTCTCCGTCTGCTGCTGGGCTTCTCGGGAGCCTTTTGGATGGAGGCCTCGAGTGCGGCCTATCGGGAGCCTTTTCCAGGCTCCTGGGGCACTGTGAAGGCTTCTTGAAGGCATTTTGAATGTCTTGGGCTATCCTGTAGGACGGCTCCCAGGGCCCCTACGAGTTTCCCTTCTTGGGCCCCTCCTGCCCCTCTTGGGCCCTCTTGAGAGCCTTTCTCGTCGTTGTATTGAGGGCCTCTTGGGCCAGCTTCGGGCCCTCTTGGAGACCTTTTCGTCCGTCTTTGATAAGTTGAGGGCTTATCGGGCCGCCTCGGGGTAAAACCCCGGAGTTGCAAGAATGTGTCGATCATGCAAAATCGTTTGAAGGAGTTCAATGACCTTGGCCTCTTGAGGCCGTCTCGTGGGTCCTCTTGGGCCCTGTCGGGCGTCTAGCTCTCTTGGGTAGTCTTGATGCCATCTTGGGTGTTGTTAAGGCCTCTCTGGCGTGTTGGAGCTCTTCTTGAGCCGTCGTTGAAGGCATTTCAAGCATAGTGGAGGCGACGGACGGTGAATTTGGAGGCTCCGAGGCCCCGGAGGTTGGTTGACGAGTTCGTATGCCCCCCCTGAAATGGAAGTGATTTTGGACACCAGGGGACGGGGAGAGTGCGAGGGGGACAGCTAATCATCTAACACGCCTTGTCACCCCCGGCAAGCAGGGGTGGGCGGTTGCAGTCTTGATTGCTAGTGCGGGCTCGCCGAGGGCGGCAGCGCAGGCTCGGGCGCTCAGCACCGACCACCTCCGACAGCCCCTGGGGACCCATGACAGCGGGAGTGCGGGGGCCTCTAACCAGGAACCAGGCGGCCATCTGCGTGTCTGTGTGTCGTGCGGGCGTGCATTCGCTCAAGCACTCCGTCAATTGCCGGCACGCGTGGTGGGCTGTATGGTGTATGTCTTCCCTGGCCAGTTGCTCGTCCGCATATGCGCATGAGGCGTCGCGTTGCCTCAGGGCCCCGTCCGTGGGACGATTGGAACTTCCAGGCTCCAGGGACATCTATGGCAGGAGTCAGCACGAGGGAGTCAGGTTTTGAGTCATTTCTCTCCTCAATCGATGCAACTGTGGAGAGGTCCTAGACATCCCACTGCAGTGTGCAATGATGCCTCAGGCGAGAGCAGGATCTTGAAACTGATCCGCCCTTACAACCGTGCAGCTGCTGAACACTCTAAAGAGAACAGGCGTAACGCTTGGACTGGCCTACGAGGAGGATCAACATCTTGATGTAAGGAAGTGATGAGCGCGGAAGAGGGGAACGAGGGAGGGGTGGTGAGCGTGTCAGGGGGCGGGGTTCAAAGGAAGCGGAACACATTGGAAGAGGAAGGAATATAGAAAGACGGCAGGATGGGGAATAAGGAGGATGAGGGGACAGGGAGCATGATAAAGGAGAGGAGCAGACGGCGAAGCAGGTGGGGAAGGGACAGCAAGAACAGGAGCAAAAGGCAGAGCATGGTAATAGAGCAAAGAGGGGGAGGAGTGCGAGTGTGAGTGTGAGCGGGATTGCGAGGAGGAGAAGCAGAAGCACGAACAGGAGCAGCGGCAGGATCGGGATCCGGATAGAGAGGAGGGGGGAGAGGAGAGATACGGGGGAGGGGGGTACGAGGAGTGGCGAGTGGGGGGGCAGGTAGAGAGGGAGGACGAAGGCGAGAGGGAACCAGATGGGGAGGCGGGAGAGTACCAGCAGAACAACGCAGGAAGATGAGTTCCACTACTTCGCCCTCGCCCCTCAGCGTTGTCACCACTTCCTTATGTCGTGATGATGCCCCGGCTTGTTTTGTTCTGGAGTGGGGGGGGAGTTCGAGGCGCCGATCGAAGTCCCTTGGGGCAGGACGCAGCTGCTGCTGCGGGACAAACCGCGAACTCCAACGAGTCCGCTCGCTGCTGCTGCACGGGGCTGGGCAAGTGCAAGCTCTTGTCGCCAGCCGAGCTCTCGGACAACTGGCTGTGGGGAGGCAGGTGTCCCCGCAGCAAAGGATACAAGGGCTACGACGCCTTCTATCCGGCTGGCACCTACCCGCGCAGCTGCATGGAGCACGCCAGCTATTCCGATCTTGGGGCGCCTCCGCGCTTTCTGCAGGCTGTGGGCGGTCCAGGCTTTGCCGTGGGGTCCAGCCTGGACTGGGAGGAGGTACTCCAAAAGCTGCTGGGGGAGTCAGCCACGGGTAATCCAAGGCTCGCGTCAGTGGACAAGAACTTGTTGCCCCTCCCTCCCCCCGAACCCAAAGCTCACAGTATTTTTGCAACGTATCGATGCCTCAACAAGTCCATGCGTTCTGGGTATACTATCGAAGACGCCTCTGGCGGCATGTCACCGCACCCCCTGCCTTTTGAGACGCATGAGTGGCCCAATATTGGGCAACATTTTTGGCGAGCAACTGGGCCGTGCGTCCCCCAGCTGGGACAGGATGATCGTTCGTTTTTACTCTTGGGCCCCCCTAGGAGCCCTGGGGGCCCTCCGAGGCCACCTTGGGTGTCCGTGCGGCTGCATTGGTGGCATGGTGGGGGGGATATTGGGTTCGCCTGGGAACCTCTTTGTGGACGTATATGACCATGTGAGGCCCCTTGGCGGCCGTCACACTTCGTGTTGGACACGTCGTGAGGCTTTCTCGGGAGCTCAGGGGAGCGCCTGGAGGCTTCCAGGGGCCGCCTTCGTAGTGGGCCAATCAGGAGCCTCTCGTTCCCCTTCGGCAGACAATGTGGGCGGGTCCCGAGCGGGTCGCTGCGGACAATGTGGGCGGGTCCCGGGCGGGTCGCTGCGGGTGGGTCGCGGATACCTCGTGGGGTCGCGGGTTGGTCGCGGGTTGGGTCGCGGGCTGGGTGGCTGGTGAGTTGCTGGTTGGGTCGCGAGTGCGGTCGCAGGCTGGTTGCGGGCCAGTCGCGGAGCTGCCGGCGATGACAAACATACAAGCAATGATAATAACGGCATCAGGGACGCCAATCCGCACCACGGATACCTACCTCAGCCACGCATCCAGGCACAGTGTACGACCGTTCGGCCCCTCACTCTGATGTAAAGTCGGATCTGAAAATGGCTGAGGGCAACCAATGGGGGTCAATGGTCTCATGGGAGTTTGTGCAGACCCCGTGGTCCATCATCCAGGCATTCAGGGCGTATATTGTAGGTGCCACCATATAGCCATGCTGGAGGTCATTGGAGACGTTCACGGTTGTTTTCTTTCGGGAGGCGTCTTCGCAGTGGGTTGCGCGGAAGGACACAGGGGCCGAAGGTTCGTTGGGAGAGGTTTCGGCAATGTGGATCACCGAGAGCCGGGCACGCCCAAGTCAGCCTGTAGCGAGGTGACCGCATGCTTCGGGAGATCTAGGTCGCCTGCGGCCCAATCTAATCTGGCCTCAGTATTCAAAAGCCGCTGAACAGAGGACTGCTTTGACGAAGGTCTCTGCATTGTCTGTGAACAAGTCCATGCGTAGCCTGTCTGGTGCGAGTTGGAGCACGATTGGACCTCATGGGGGCCGTTTTCAGGCTGGAGGCCCTCGAAGACCGACATAGTCTTAGAGAGCCAGACTGATGGAATCGGGTCATTGTTGGGGGTTATGGTTGTGTCGCGTGATTTTGTTTTCCGAGGGGTCTGGGTCGTATTGGAGGCAGTTCGGACTAGATGCGGCCATCTTGGATGCCATCTTGGAGGCATTTCGGCAGTGAGGCCCCTCGGGTGGGGGTCTTGCCGCGTTATGGGGGCCCTCTTGGGGTTATTTTCAGTTTCAAGTCATCCAACCAATCAGAAACCGAAAGAGGCAGAGGACTAGACTCACTCACAAACTCGAAGCATTCAAGCGATGGTGGCCTCTCAGGGGCAGCATGGCCGTCTTGAAGGCATGCCGGATTTTGTTCGGCAGTTTTGACGGGGGCAGTTTGGGCCACCTTGTAGGGATGAGACCTCTTCTTGGGGCTTTGCTGCAGTTGTTCGGGGCCCTCCTGGGGCCGTCCGGCGGGCCGTCTTGAGTCCAAATGATTGCATTTGAGGTCCATCAGGCGCCGAACATTCGATAATGCTAACTTTACTGAAGCGCTTCTGTTGTTTAGATCGGCTTGGCTTCTTGGGTGCACCCTTAGAGGCGATCTAGAGGCCTTTGGCCCATCCTGCCACCGTGCCGGGGTTGTGGGCCAGAGTCCTCTTGTCTTGGATGCCTAGTGGGAGCATTTTGGAGGCATCCTGCCCTAGTGGCTGCGTGATCATGCCGCCACCCCTCCACTTTGGCACGCCCCTCACACGCTTCGTGGCCCCATAGGGGCTCCACCTAAGGCTCCAGTGGCTGCGTTCGCATGCCGCCACCCCTCCACTTTGGCACGCCCCTTCACACGTTTCGTGGCTGCATGGGGAGCTGCACCGAAGGCCCCAGTGGCTGCGTTTGCATGCCGCCACCCCCTTCATTTTGGCGGAGCCGCAGGGGATCCGAGCGGCCTTGCCGACAGAGCAGAGGATCGCGCTGATCAGGGCTGTGGTCAAGATGCACGTCAACCTCGGACATCCTGGCAATCGGGCGTCGGCAAGGGCCATGCGGCTGGCGGGCGGTTCGAAGTGCGCCATTGCGGCAGCTTTGGTCCATCATTACCCTACGTGCCTCAAGCTGGCTCCGCCTCCAGCGACGGCTGCGTCTTCGCTCAGGGATCGATGGAGGGAGTTCGTAGATTGCCTGGCCATCGACACCTTCGAGCTGGCAGATGCCCAGAAGTTCGCAAGGTTTTCCTGGGTCAGATAGACATGGTGTCTAGTGCCAGATCGCCATGCCCGTCGCTTCTCGAAAGCCGACGGTTCTTTGGCAGGTCATGCTGGACTCGTGGTTGTTGGCGCTCGGGGCCCCGAATGTCGCGATATCGGCATGGGCGGCGAGTTAGAGCGCGAAGTCAAGGAGGCGCCGGAGTGCATGGGTTCAAGGATTGTCTCGAGTGCGCCATACAGTCCGACGCAGAATGCAACCTGCGAGAGGCATGGCCAGACATGGGAGGCACGCGCTCGGGCTGTGGTCCCCGAGTTTTTCCTCAGCTTCAAGAAGGGCGCCAAGATCAGGTGGATGATGGCGTCCATCAACCACGCAGTGAGCTCAGCGGCTGGACCCTCCGGGGATTCACCCTCGCAATGGGTGCTAGGCCGCGGCGCCAAGCTCCCCTGCCCGCTCCTCAGCCAGCGTGGCAACCTCAGGCTACACCAGCGGATGATGGACGATGGAGAACCCAGTCTCAGACCGCGCGTGGGTCTCCTTAGCGCCGCCAGGCGCTCAGTGGCCGCCCTCGAGGCGAACCGCAAGATCAGCGAGGCCTTCCTCGCCAAGAGCACAGCTACCAAGACGGCCCCAGTTGCAGCAAACTGCCAGGTGGGCGACCAGGTATTTTTTCTGGAAACGTCTTGGGCAGGCCCGCGCCAGGCGTCACCGTGCCGAGCGGTGGCATGGCCCTGCCGTCGTCATCGGGCATGAGGCCAACAACCTGCGGCCGGCGCATCGCAACCTCGCTGTTCGCGCGGCAGAGGCGTCGGAGCTCATCGACTGGAAGGATATCTTCGAGCGCGCCATGGGGGCGAGTGGTCAGCCTACGGCCAGACCCGCCTGGTGGTCACCACCCGGGGAAGGTGAACAGACCAGTCCCATGGAGGCGGACGACGAGACTCCACAGGTGGCGGAGCCACCGCCTGCCGACTTCAGCAATGACCACACGTACCTGAAAATGACCATCGACGAGAACGCCATGGCGCCCATGGACGTCGAGCGTCCCGAGGGTATGGAGGAGCCCCCCTGCGCGCCGCCGCCTTCCAGCAAGCGCCCGACGCATCGACGGGGACAAGAAGTCGGCGGACCAGGGCCCCACGCCCTTCCCGCAGCTCATGCTGGAGGGCCCCGACTATATGGCCGAGTCGCCGGAGCTGGCGCGGCTTCTGCCTCCGCGGCCGCCTGGGCCGCATTTGAAGTTCGAAGATGAGACCCCGCAGCTACAGCCACGGGATCCCCACCTGCAGCATCACCATAATCAGCAACGCCATCTTCCTGATCTTGATCTCCCTGATCTCCTGATCTCGATCCTTCCGCCCCATGCCCCAAGTGGGCGAGGAGGCGCCGCGGCCGCCTCCGCGGCATGGCGGACATCATCGAGAGGCCGCAGAGGGGGACTAAGTACCGTGCCAGGAATTTCAGTACCAGGACGGCGACGGCGACGCGTTCCAGGACGGCGAGGAGGAGCAGGACAGGCACCAGGACGGGAGCGATCAAGGAGGAGCGTCGGGTTCTGGAGGAGCGGCGCCCTCGAGCTCGGCGCCGGCCGCATTTTACCCTGCACCGTTCAAGCCTGTCCGCTACGACGCCCTCGACGACGTGCCCTTCTCGATAAGCAGGGGGGGGGGGCCGAGTGGCCTCCAGTTTGAAACCGGAGCAGCACGAGGGGAGCCCAGACAGCCTCGAGAAGAAGATGGCGAGACAGGCGTTGGCGCTCCAGATCGAGGGGGGCCGCGGGTGTTTCCTGACCCGAGCCGCGCGGGCCAGGGAGGTCGACGTGGGCGCTGTCGCCGGGGGCGACATCAGGTCCCCTGGCCTCGATGGAGGACGAGTGGGAGAAGCGGCTCGCGTTCGGGGCTGCTCGGCGATGCCTGGGCCGCGAGCGCAAGGAGAATTTGGCCAGCGGCGCTAGGGTGGTGGGCACTCGTTGGGTCGTCACGCTTAAGCAGACGAAGCGATCGAAGTTCAAGTTCAGGCTGCTGGTCCAGGGGTGCCAAGAGAAGTCTGTCTAACTATATGCGGAGCGACTCTCCCACGGGCTCCGTAAACGCGCCGATGGTCACTTTGGGCTATATAACCCAGCGGAGCTGGACAGGATGCTCATGCAATGCCGGGTCTGCGTGCCGAGGGCGTCGACAGACTGCTGCTCATCAGCATTCCCAAGAGGCGCCCTACTGACCCTGGGAAGGTCTTCTGCGCCCAGGGCTCCATCTACGGCGTCAGGGACGCCGGCCAGGCCTGGTGCAATCATCTGACGGCGTACCTCGTGAAAAAAGGGTATCATCGAGTCTAAGCTGGAGCGCGGCGTCTACTGGCACCGCATCAATGAACAGCTCAAGATGGTGATTCATAGCCATGTGGGCGACCTCCTGGCTGCCAGGCTGGTGGGCTGCCCGGAGGCCGATCATATCCTAAGCGAGATGTCCACGAATCTACACCTGGAGAGGCGCGATCGTGAGTTCGAGTATTGCGGTGTCCACATCACGGACACCGAGAGCGGGATATACGTCACACAACACAGGCCAATGATATCAAGGCGGTCGAGCTGAGCCCGCTGACTTCGGACCGGAAAAAGAACCAAGATGAGTCGGCGACAGCAGAGCAGTTGAGCGCGCTCGGGCACCGACGGCCAGCTCCAGTGGCTAGCCCATCGGTCTAGGCTGGACATCGTTTTCGAGCAGAACAGGCTGGCTCAGTGCACGTCGGACTTGAAGGTGAAGGGTTTCTTCGATGCCAACGAGCTTGCGCAGTACGTGAGGGAGAATCTGGAATACGGTCTGACCTTCTGGAAGGGAGTAGTGGACATCAAGACGGCTGCGGCGCTGGCTTTCGGGGACTCGTCATTTGCGAACATGCCGGGAGAGAAGAACCATGCAGGTGCCGTCTTATGCCCGACCAACTCACCTCAGGACGCGGCGCACGGCATTTGAAACGCAGGCCCCACTAGCGCGGGCAAGGTTCCGTGTGAAGAGGACGGTGCGATATACATTGGCGGCCGAGGCTTGCAGTATCAGCGAAGCGATGGAGCGCGACCAATTCCTACGTCAGTTTCTTCCGGAGCTGCATTCACCGCCGACTGCGAAGCTGAATGGGGGTCGAGGCCCTGTCCACGCCATGACACATCCTCGCGGTGACCGACAGTGAGAACCTAAAGGTGACAGAAAGAAGGACATTGGATCGGTCGCAGACATGCGGCTGCGGATTGTGGTTTCGATGCTACGCGAGAGTGTGCAAGTTCAGGACAACACTGCACTTGTTTGGACGGGCTGAAGCGCTGGTGGCAGATGGGTTGACAAAGGGCCTGGGATGATTGGGCATCTTGGTCGCATGTTTCAGTTTCCAGAAAGTCCTCAATTCCGCCCTCGCAGCGGATGCGTCAGGCCGACAGGCCGACATCGATTATGTCATCATCGACTTCGAGTTCGGCACCCCCATGGAGGAGCTCAACTTCCACGTCTGCGAGGCCGCCGACGAGATGTGCGACCAGGAGTGCACCAAGTACCGCCAGGGCACCGAGGACGGCAACGTCGACGAGGTTAACTTTTACGATTGGAGCGACTCCGGCAAGGGCTGGCGTTTACGGAGTGATGGCCGCGTCCCGAGTCATCTGTGCCACAGCGGCATCATCAAGCAAAACGCCAAGTGGGGATGACGACAATGACATGTTTGTGGAGATTGGATTTTACATCCTGGCTTTGGTGAGATTCACGCTGGTGTACCCCATGTGGCAGGTGAGGGCACTCAGCATCGCGGTGAAGTGCGCGCGCGCAGTCGATCATGCTCCGACCCTGGTTCCAGCACCTCGAAACATCGGAGGCCGAGCGTTGCAGCAGCAGCTTGTTGAGCCAGGTCAAGCGTCGCCCCAGAAGGCCGAGAACCACGAGACGATCTCGGATAGCGACGAGGCCATCTTCGGAGAGGTCGCGGAGAGGATCGCGGACGTGGGCATCGAGATGCCCAGTCAGGTGGAGCCTGGACCACGTCGCCTAGCTCAGAAGATTGAGGAGATCAAGGCCATTCCGGATGACCACGATTTCCGGGCCATTCGAGAGAAGTTGGCGAATAAAGGACTATACGACACCCCAGTCATCATCGAGGTTTCCGAGAAGACGCTCAAGCATCGCATCTCGATGAGAGTATAGGTTACGAGAGATGATGCTACCAGGGCCAAGGCGGGAGTGGCGTACTACGCGAGCCCTGAGTCCACGGGGGGTAGACTACGTGTGCGGGGGGCATTCCGCAGTTACAAGGAGACAAAGTCTGCGACGGGAGTTGCTGCGACAGCGTCATCTTGTGGCTAGACATCCAGATTACGGCGTTCAAGGAACGATCTGATCATATACATCTACACGAGTTTCGTTGCGGCCGATGGCTGAAGAAACGCGGCGGCAGCTATTCTCCTGCGGGCCCGACGGCCTGGAGCTGGCAGGCAGGAGGAGCTGACGGCGCGCGTGTATTCCTACCATATAGTGCCCTACCCTCCCCCCCCCCCGCATGCACCTCATCATCCCCTTCATCTCCTGAGGCCCCTGAGGCCGCTTGAGCCCCGCCTGGGCCCCCCTGGGGCCCATGCAAGGCCCATGCCCGCCGCTGCCGTTTGGGGCTATGGCCCCGGCCAGGGCCCTTGACCAGCTTACGATCTGCCGCCCCGCGGGCGGCCACGAGCGATCGGGGCAGCTGCCCCTCCTGGCGCGGCGCGCTGGACAAAAGTGCGAGCTGATTCGCACCAGTGGCGCGGCGCCGCCACGGGGGGCAGCACAGTGGGTACTTGCCGCAGACCTCGCCATCTCTGGGCAGGATGGCCCAAGAAAGCCTCCACGGAACCTGGAGATACCCAGACTGTCCACAATGGCGCAAGAAGCCCCCAAGAAACCCCAAATAAGCCCCCAACAGGTCCCAAAAAGGCCCCGAAGAGGGCCCAACGAGCCCTTGACGGGCCAGGAATGGCCAAGAGGCCCCCAAAAAACCTTTGGCGGCCCACGAAGTCCATCGTATGTCCAGGACTGTCGGCTAACTCGATAGGGCTGCGCGGCACACGAGCACGGCTGATCATCACAATGAGTCAGTAGCATGCGTGTTGCTCTGCTGTGCGACGTTTCTCAGTCTCTCGTGGGTTCTTATCCAGACTTTCTCTGGCAAGTTTGGTGGACAAAGCGGCGCTTCCCGTTCTTGTCCTGTCAGGTTTCTGAGAAATGGCCGTTTCGCTTGAAACATCCTCCAAACATCGGCTCTGGAGAGGGGGCCCTGAACCAACGTCGTCCAGGAGTCGCCCTTGAAGGGCTTCAACATAGCTCAGAAGAGCCCTAAACGGCGTTTTAAATGACAGGAAGAAATGCCCAACCCAAGATGCTCCCAAGAGTCCAGGAAGCTCCCAGACAGCCCAGGAGGGCCCCGATAGATGTCCCAAGATGGCGCCAGAACGGCCTGAGAGCCCCTGCAGAGCTCCAAGACACGCCCAGGCAGCCCAAGAAGAGCCCAGCAGCCTGCAATAGGATACCGAAGGGTCCCCAAGAGGCTCCCAAGATGCCCCAAGGAGCCCCGGACAGCCCCAACAACCCCCACGGTAGCCTCAAAGATCTCGAGGACCCTCCCCATTTGACGTCGGTTGCCTCGTCCTCCGTCGTCGTCGTCGTCGTCGTCGTCGTCCTTCTCCTCCTCCTCCTCCTCCTCCTCCTCCTCCTGCTCCGCATCATTCCTCCTCGTGCTCGTCTTCCTCCATCGCTGCCTCTTGTGTTTGTCTTCTTTGTTGTGCTCCTGCTCCACTCGCTGCCCTCCCCGTCATTCACGCTGTCATCCTCGTCATCCGCCGCCTTGTCGTCGCCATCGTCCTTCTCTTCTTCTCCTAGCTACGAGCCCAACTATCAGGCTTATGTGGTATGGAAATCCCTGGGGGAATTTTCAATCGCAAGCCACGGTTACGCACGATGCGTGCGAGGGACGTGCCGAAATGGGTCAGGGGGGTATGCACATGGTCCCACGGGCCGTAGATGGTGCGAAAACATGTGAGGAGTGTGTGCCGAAATTTCCCTCGGTACGCCATGCGGATTTTCCAACTGGGGCAGTAGCTGTAGCTCCCCAAGGGCCTAAGGTGCACGAAACATGGGCCCGCCTACGCTATGCGTGCGTTACCAGGGGGGCCATAGGGCGTGCGTCGTATTTGCCAGCTTTGTACGCAACCGTGGCGGCCAATGACACATGTGAAAGGGGGTGCAGCGGCAGAGACCCCTCCCCAGGTAGACCTTGACCATCTTATGCTGTTGAAAGTGGTTTCCTCGGGCATGCCCTCTTGAGGCGTTCCTGGAGCCGTCTTGGACCCTCTCGGCCGTCTGGTGGTGCTCATTGGAATTCTGGAGCGGCCCGATGTAGCCTGAGGTTCCTAGCAAGACCGCTGGGGGTAGTAGATTGACGCCGTGGGCTCCCTTAGTAAGCAAGGGTATGTGTGAGCTGGTCCCCTGTCTGAGTTTCTGGATTACCTGAAGTCAACCACAGACGAAATGCGCTTGGTCGTGAGTGACTCGCACGGTGACAGGATGGATGTTCGTGTGCTCGGAACCGATCCATGGTCGGCGGAGCGGCCAAGCATTAGCAGCTTGGACAGCTTCCCGTGGTTGATGCAGTACACATCGAACGTCGGCTTGCCCATGGGGCAGCGAGTGCAAGTTGTGGGTCTCGTGCAGTCTGCTTTATCGGACCCGCTAGCGTATTTGATACCAGAGGAGGGTACTATCGCTCACAGGAACGAGAACGGAACGTACCGAGTGCTCTTGTCAAAAGGCAAAATTCGGGACGGCGTTTCAATCGATGAATTGGAATTGGTGGGGGCGAGCATTCCACAAGCTGTCGAGGCACACTTGGAGCAGTTGGCATTGGTTGTGGAGAACGACGACAAACACAACGGGTACGCTTACATTCGATGCAAGTCGGGCGAAGGGGAAAGCAGCAAGATGACGTATATGTCGGACAAGTGCGATGGTGCCGCGTGGTGTTTCGTGAGGAATCATTGCGGCGGCATTCGCAATGGCCCCTGCACGAAAATAGAGGCGCCCTTCCGCTGCCAGGGGAACGCAGACATGTGGCGTAACAAGATGATGGAGGGTGTTGTGCAGTGCAAGATGCCTTCGCCATTCAACACCAGCACTTACAAGGACCCGTGGTTGCAGGCGGGGGTGTTCCGCGAGCTCTACAACAGCGTTGACTCTCTGCTGAGCGGCTACCGGGAAGGCCAGGCGTTGCCGCTCCACCCAGAGGGCACAGAGGCAGAGATAGGGTTCATGGGCGGCGTTTTCGAGGGGGACGGTGTGTTCGCGGACCAGCACTGGACGCCCAAGCATCAGGCCGCCGGCATCTTGAACGACGGTGTCTCGAGCTCGACCTCGCGGTGTTTCGAGTTCGACTACTCCGCGGGACCGGAAGCGCCAGACCCTGCAGGCTGTCGCTTCTTCAAGGAGACGTTCTCGCCCTTGCAGGGCCTGTCGAGGTGCATCCAGGAGAAGGTCCAGGCCGACCCCTACCCCGTACTCTGGGAGAAACTTGCGTACTGGAACGACCAGCACAAGAATATGACCGACGTGGCTCGAGCGATGATGACGGAGGCCGAGGAGATATTTGGCCAGGACTTCCCAAAGACAGCGATCAACATGACGTCTCTAGAACATGAGGTTCGGAATTGGCGCAAGTGCAACTTCCGGTGCAAACACATGGACGTATTCTCCCGCGCTATGGAGATGATCAAGAGGGTCGCGTTCAAGAATTGGGTTGGCCTCAGCATTGACACAGTGAAGGCGACCCTAAGGCGGAAGGTGGTTGAGACTCGGAGCGCTCCATTCGAAGCGGCTCTGCCGAGGCTCACGGACGCTACTGTTGAGGCACTCATTGGGGAGTGTTTCAAGATGCCTTCGGACCCTGTCGCAACAGTGCCTTCCAACACGGGTCTCGGACAGGTTCCCCTCGAGGCGATGTTGCTCAAAGAGGCGACGTTCGGGTGTCCCAATAATTCCGACGCGGCAGCGCAGTCTGACACATTGTTGTTCCTACATATCCTACGGATGAGTTTCTTGTTATCATTTGCGCTTCGTGTATCCCCAGCAGCCCGTTCCGAAACGTTACTACGTATGAGAGCTGACGGGAAAAGGGACGAAAAGACGCACGTAGTGAAACAAAGTGAGGAACCGGGATGAACCGAGAGATCTAGGAGCAACGGATTGGCCTCGGAAGGCCTCTTCGGGCCATCCTTGGGGCCCGCAGGAGGGCGAGGGCAGGAGGAGGAGGAGGAGGAGGAAACTGCCTCTCGGGGTCCTCGTGGGATGCTCTTGGGACGCTCTTGGGGCCGTCTTGGGGCCGTCTTGGGGCCCTCGTGGGGCCCTCTTAGGGCTCTTGGGCTACCTTGGGGCCACCTTGATGCCTCAAAGCGCATCGGAAGCGAAAAGGCGAGAAGGCACATCATTGACCTTACCTTGGTTTTTGACTGGCTTTGGCCTCTTGGGGAGTGTCTGGAGGGGGTTCCGAGAGCAATTAGAACCGTCTTGTGGCCCTCGTCGGGCCTCCTGGAGGTATGTTGGAAGCTATCTGGAACCATCTTCGGTTATCTTGAGCCGCTCTGGAGGCCAGATGGTTTTTGGAAGAGAAGAGAAGAGCACCTTAGCCCAAAGGGCTGGTGGGATTAGTGCGACGCATCCGCCTCCTCTTCTGCTCACCTCCCGCCTTCTCCTTCTCCTCACCCACACCCAGGTTCGTACCCATATCCGCACTTCGACCAACTCGCATCAGACTCACTTGCAGTCATACTCATCCACACAGCCGCTTTGGCTCTAGTTCGCGCCGCTGGGAACATCCCTCTCTCGTCGCGCGCCATGACGTTGCTGGTGACGACGCGCCGCGCCGCCCTTGAGGCCGCTCACGGCTCTCTCGTGGCGGCCCTTGCCGCCGCGGGCATCAGTGCATGTGACAGCCGAGTGTCTCTCCGCCCCCTGCGGGCGGCCGAAAGGCTTGTCAGGGCCGCTGTGGAGGTTCGCGGCGTGCCGACCGAGGCCGTAGGTGATAGACCAGGCGACGGTTGTGGAGTTTGCCCGTCAGCTGCTCGTGCGACGCCCGTGCCTGGGTCGCCGCCGAGGCGGACAAAACTGCGCGCTCGTCGTCGTGCCCGTGGGGCGCAGATGAAGGCCGCGGTGCTAACCACGCCTGTTGTTGGCGGCGGCCTGGGGCGGCGGACACTAGCACCCTCGAGGACGACGGGCGGGCCGACACGGTGATACCGGGCATGGCGATCTCGATTGCTGAGGCAATTGCCATGGCCGTTGGTGGAGAAAATGGCCACGGAGCTGCTGTTGATGCAAGGCTGGTGGCTACACAGTCTACGTGAAGACCTACGTCGGTTCATCCATGATATTGAGAAGCATTTGGCCAAACCAGATGATGTGCACGGTTTTTTCTCAGCTGAGCGGCCACGTTGCCACGGCAGTCCTTCGGCGTGCTGAACGTGCCAACGCAGAAGGATTGAACGACCTGAACGATGACTCCGACGACGGGCGACCTCAGCGCCCACTGGTACTTGAGACCATCGCTCTGGGAGTCAAGGACATCGAGATTTCGAAGCTCACGATGACAGATACCCTTTTTTGAGATCGGGTCCCTAAGGCAGTGCTGCCACGGGCCAGGTATTGGTTCATACGATTGGGAATAAGACGCACAGGGTTTGCCCTTCCTGTTCGGCGGAGGTGGAAGACATCGCCACCATTATCTTCAAATGCCAAAATTGGGGTTCGAAGCGGAACGTTTTTTTGTTATCCGAACCTGTACACCACGGATTCAATCATTTGCTCGACCACCTTGTACTAAGCATGGTGGTCTGATGCTTGGCCGACCTGAGTATGATGAGTTTGGCGCCAGCCTATTCTTCGATGACCAATCTTTGCCGCTTCCACCACATCGCGGAGATTGCCACGAACAAGTGCATACCGGGAACACAAGAAGAGGGAGGACATCTAACCTGAGGAGTACCCTCTCTGGGAGTAGAGCCGTGCTGCTGACGAGGGGGCAGTCGAGGCAGCAAGGCAAACTCGCCGTGCCGACGGTTGTTCTGCAGCATCATCTACGTGACCAACACCTGCGCGATCAATTGCAGGCCACTGCAGCAATGAATCTATGTGCAGGAGCGGCCGCGCTCACTGCAATGGGACATGAAACGCTGAAGGAGACAATCGGATGCGAACATGCGCGCGCTCACCTTTCGGGGTGAGAACGGACATTATGATGAAGACACTTGCATCTTCAGGATGACATTGGCGACGACGCCCCGATGGCACATTTCGGCATGGATGAGAATGATGGCGACGCGCTCGTTTGTGCCCATGCCCGAGCCTCGGCGCACCAGGGCATCAATGGGCCACCAGTCACGTCCAATGCGACGCCAACGCCCTCGAGAGCCATAATATCAAGCACGCCACCCACAACGGCGACAGCGCACAGACGCCTCAGCGGGAAGCCACCTCGCCACTCAGCGGCGACGGCTTCATCTTCAGCCACGTCAGCAGCTACGCCAGCGGGCCCAAGCTTGACTGCTAACGCACTCCCCTGGTTGCGAATGGGATCCCGCGGCGCCGAATGCCGCGGCTTCCACGGGGGCGGCGCTGGAATTCATTCCCGCGCCCCCCGAGCGTGGCAGAGCAGACGACCGGGCAGATCAACGACAGATGTTCCCACCGTTGGTTTGAATATGTGCGAGATTGGAGTGGAACTATGATGGTGCCAGGCTTTGCTCCAGGAGTGCGACTTGAATGGGGCTCTCAATTAACTTCGCGAGTGCGACTGGCATCCTATCTTGTTGGCCCGGCGAAGCTCCAGAGCGTCGCGCTGGGGCGAACGGCCAGATTCCTCAGCGCGGCAGCGGTTCGTGCGTCAGTCTTTGCGACGTGGGGCTTGCGCCAAAAGGAACGTGCAAAGCAGCGCGTTCTCTGGTACTTCTAGGCGCGCGACCAGCATGTGGTCTCTTGCGCGGACATCGCCTTGCGGAGCATTGCGCTCCCATGGTGGTGACCTTCGAGACGGCCATGACCACCGCTGCGCGTTTTTTTGTTGTTCTGGCAGCAGTTGCGCCCGCGCGGGGCGGGGCGGGGCGGCGGCGGGCGGGGGGGGAGGGGCGCCGCCGCCTGATCGCAACCCCCGAATCTGAACTCTCCGAACTCGGCGACCGCCTTGGAGGGTGGAGCGCCGGCAGCAGTTGCGGCCCGAGGATCGCGACCCAAGAAGGGGGCCATCTCGGCCGCAGCAGCAGCAGCAACGACCCGGACGCGTCGGGAGAAGGCAGCGAGCGCCACGCGGCCCCAGAGGCCACACGCTGCGCGCCGAGGAGAAGCGACTTCTGCGCGACAGGACGGCTGCCGAGCACACCTTCCAGATCTCGGCGCCCATTGCGCGGGGCAAAGCACCGCGACTCAGATGTGCCGTCTGCGGAAGAGGAACTTCGCATCGACGATTTGCTCTTTGAGCTCGACAGGGCAAGAAGCAGGCGCCAGCTAATGCTGCGAGGCGCCTCGCGCCAGACACCGCCGACGATCCGACGCGCGAGCGCAGCGCAAGACATGGGCCCATATGCCAGAATTTCAACAAGGATGATGATGACGGGAACACGGCTTGCACGAGGTGGACACGGACACGACCCGCGAGACACGCCAGGAGCAGCATTTTCGCAGCGCGCCAACTCTAGTCAGTTGGTGCGTCTCATTTCTTACGCAGATGGAGCGCATTGCAATGGTGCCTAAGACGGCCAGCGATTCGCCGCGGCCAGGTCAGCCAATGGCCAGAGGTGCGAAGCAAATGTGATGAGCTCCGTATGTTGCACCCTCTTCATCTTGCACTTCTGCATCCGCGGTGCGCAGCGCCGCCACTTCAAGATCAATCTTTATTCCGGCATCCCCCCCGCTCGTTGCAAATGCGCCCCGAGTGGGAAATTCGGGCAGATCGTCGGCGACGATCTTGCATGCCTTTTTTCGGAGCACAACAAATGTATATGAATGCCTTTCTTGGCAGCCGGGGGCCCTGGGAGCTGGGTATCGAAGGGGGGTTCCGTGGCAATCTATTCGGGGGCCGCAGTGGCGTTGCCCCGGCGGCGACGGCGCGGGCCCTCTTCGGGGGGTGGCCAGCCGATTCCGCGGGCCCCGGCCTGCCTTGCCCCCGCCGACGATGCCAGGGCATTCCGGGGGCGACGTCGGCGCATGCCTCATGCCCCGCGAGGCGCGATTATGCGTGCACACCGAAAAGTGCATGCGCCAATCGCGCCAGATTGGCGCATGCACCCCGCCCAGGGAACAACGAGTGCCAGTGTGAACCGGGAATGGTATGCACCAATCACTTTGGCTGGGGTCCGCCGCCTGGGGCGAGGGCGGCTGGGGCCTGCGGAATCGGGCTCTTTTCTCATGGGCGAGCCACAGCGAGCTTGCATGCGCGCTTGCGCGCCCGCAGCCGCGCGAGTGGATTCGCGCGGCGCGCGGAAGACGACGAGCGCGCCAAGTTCTATTCTATCGAAGCAGAAGGGCGCGCGCGCACTTGTTGCCCCCCCACTTCTGGCGGGGGGGGCGGGGCGACGAATGGGCGGGCGGCGGGCGCTTTCTCTGAGATGCGCCGGCCACGCGTGCATCGTGCACCTTTCCGCCGATAGAGTGTGGAACAGCGTCCCGCGAGGGGGCGCCCGGCCAACTGTCGGCGACGGTTGAGCTTGCCTCCCGCGCGCTCTTTCCCCGTTCGTTGCGGCGGCGTCCCGCGAGGGTATCTTAGCGGATGGCTGGCGGCGATCTCGCTTGCCTTCCGACGGGGGCGCGGCTGCGGTGACGACGCGCAGGTAGACAGGGCATGTGACTTGTTGCGCTCACGTAATTAAGCTATCCAGTTGAAGAAGCAGTTTCTTGCTTGCTGGTTATCTCATATGATCTATAAGTGGCCTGACGAGAATGTATTGAGAGACGAACGGCGATGGCAA